ATTTTAAAAGTAGCATCTTTTATTTAAGGGTTAGTTTATAGACCATGTTGAAAATTTATTTCTCCATGTTGAAAATAATCAAGTGAAAGGTCAGCAAATTTTTTAATGCTCTTTTGGGGTGCAACTTGCAAGTGGGAATATTCAGTCCCTTAATTTAGTAAAGACTTGATTCTAGTTGTTCACTTCAAGTCAGTAGGCCTACTTTAAGTGATCAAAGTAATTAGATATATAGGATGACTATATTGCCTCCAGCTGGGCACTTACTGCATTTGACGGTCGTCTGCTGATGCAATTCCATGAAGAACGCAATGCTATGACGCATGCACAACGGATTGTTTTTAATGACGATCCGTTCAGACTTCCACCGGCAATCAGCAGATGGCGTTAGGCCATGTAAAATAAAATAAGTGGTTAGCATCCCCTCCTTACCATCAAAAAGGCCACCGACCCGATTTTTTTTTTTTTTTTTTTTTTACAATACACTCACAAACTCCATTTAATATAGGTTTGTTTACCACCCGTCTGCACTCTAACCAGTCCACTTGCAGTTCTATGCTCTACTGTTGTTCTATAGGCCTATACTATAGCCACATGGTATTCATGATGCCTGTTGTGTTGAGGAGTGAATTGTGCATGATTAAATAGAGATAATTGCATTATGACGCTGTTATTTATAGGTAAAGTTTCTGCTTGCTATAGATGCTTGTATGTAATTTTGGTCTCTGTTGTTTTATTCTTCTTTTTTTTTTTTGCTGTTTTTCCTTGCAAAACTCTTTTTTTCATGTTATATGCATGTCTTTCATGTCTAGCGCTCACAACGAGCAGAGTTGGATTCGTCATACCACGGTTGTACGACACAGTAACTGCCCTACATACAGTAGTTGTATTCTCTTTGTATAACCATGTTGCCATTCCTCTTTTATTATGCATTGCCTTTTGTTTTATGTCCTTCCTCTTTCAATCTATTATTTTGTAATTTATTCTGAAAGTACTTGCATTAAACCAGTGTGTGAGCGAAAGTTTGTATATAAAATAAATTGTATTGTGTTAATCTTTAAACAGTGACATTTTCACTGGCTTTTATTTTAGAAGAATTTGTCATTGCCATCATCTTTATGGCAAGGTAGAGAATATCGAAACTTCAGTTTGTATATAAACATCCTCAACCTGTTTATTTAAAGATTGAAACTCTTCAAGTGTCTGAAAACTATTTGCCTGTGAAACTACAATCCATGATTAAAATAATGATTGGTTAATTAACAATCAGTTTCTTATTAAAACACATTAAATAAATAATGAATTAGATTTATTCGGTGTGAACATAAAAAATGTGACAGTTTTTCACAATAAATGGGATGATCTAAAAGGTTGTCATTTTGTTGGCAAAGTCAATGTACTAGAATTGAATGACGTCATGATGACATGCAATACTGTACCTGTCTACATATCAAATTTGCTATCGAATAAAAATATTTCCATTAGTGATAAACTACAAGGCATATCGTCGTTAGCCCTTGCATGGCAAGGTCATCAATCGGGCGGGTTTGCACGCCAGCCAGACTGCTTCCAGTGCACTGACCAGAATTTGACACACCCCCCTCCCCACTCTGGCCCGCAGTCGATCCACTCGAGTCAGCTCAGTCTAGCCAAAGTTAAATTATCCGCTCAAGTTGGCTCTGTTTGTTGCAGTCGGAAAATGCAAATAACATTCTAAAATTTGCATCTTGCTTCTGATCCGCACCAAATTTGAGAAGAACCAAGATACATTAACATTGTCAGTATGTGAAAATTTGAAGTATTAAAGTCGGTCCAGAAGTTTTTGAGTTATGCATCTGAAAGGACACACAGACGTGTGGTATTGCAATACATACTGTACTCTTCACCTACTCTGTAGAGGCAATGGTAACCAAACAAACAAAATAATGTTTTTGGTATTTTGGACTAATTTTTTTTTATAGATTTTTGTATTGTCAGGCAGCATAAACTTTTTTTTTTGGCCTCAAAAATTAATAAGATCTCTGTAAAATTTGTTTTTACTAAAGTTGCAGTGTCCCTAGTGCTGTATTTTTTTTTACATAGATACAGTAAATTGCATCTTCCTGAACACATTGAATAACATCTTCTGATTGGTTATATTGTTTGGCTTTATTAACAGCTACTTTGGAAATATTCAGGTTTTTTTTTTAGCGCACAATGACTTTATAAACTTTTGCTTTCTTGTTTTTATTTTTTTTAAAGATTTCATGCAATACAGAGTATGTTGATATACAAAGTGTAAAAAAAAAAATAAAGGTTTTTTTTTATTCTGTAAATTAAAAAAGGAAGCTTGTGAATATTTGGTTTCAACAAAAACTGTTCAATGTTATAATTATAAATAAAAAGTAGGTAATTCATTAAAATTATAGAAATTTATGTTATTTAGGATTAATGCATTTTATTATGGTAATTTGTGGGCTAATTATTATAGCAAATCACATAATTTGCAACAAGTGCATTAAATTACTTTTAGGTGAACCAAGGTACTTTTAGGTGAACCAAGATTAAGCAGTGTTAGCATTATGTTTGTCTAATGTCAATTACTGTCTCTTGGTAAATTTGTAAAATAATTGGTATACAACTTCAAAACTTCAATTCATTGGTATAATTTACACACAGTTTAAATTTGTCTTTATGTATATTTCTTATGGATGTACGTCTGAAATAAAGGGTGATTGATTGATTGATATGTCCTCAGCCAGAGCATAGGGATTTTTAGGAATCTTAGTGTCTAAGCCATACTATACTACATGTATCTGTAGTTAGTGTATTGTAGACGGTCTTTGAGAAGAGTGACTAGTAGATAATGCCATAGGAACTCATTCAGTAGAAAATCAATATGAAAGCATATTGTATAGTGTCATGACGTACAAAGCTAATCTAACGCCTCACTTCTCTGTTGTCACTGTTGTCAGGGACTACCTCCATCAAGAGCAAAGGGAGTTAGAGTGTTGTTGGGTCACAGTTAACCATAAATTGTTTCTAAGGTCCTACATTATGACATCCTACTGTATATGTATGTAAACACACATGTATTGGTTTGAACACATTTTCTTGTGGGACAAGCTTGTATTTCCTACCAGGCCTGGAAAAAAAATCTTTGTGCCTTTGACCATGAAAGATTATCTTGATCAAATGTCTCCAGGATCAAATGTTATCTTCACACTATTATAGCGAAACAATAGTACATTCAGTGGTTTGGATCAAGCAAAAATATTATATTTATGCATTAATTTTTTATGTGCAATAGAAAATTTAAAAAATTTGTTTTTCTTAAATGTCACCGGGTTAAAGGTCAATGCTCCCGATCGTTGATCGCGGTCGCGCACTTTTTCCAGCCCTGTTCCCGGCCCTGTTTTGATCGATCAATTGTAATTTGGAAACGAGCATTAAATCAAAAGGCAAATTTATATAATTTGAGCAAACATTTATTTACAATATTCTTTCAATATCAAGAAGCAGCTAGTGGTCCTTAGCCTATTTTCTCATTTAGGTTAATAGGTCTGTCTGTTTACATTGTAGGCCACACAGACATGTCGCTTTAATCCGTCTCGCGTATTATTACTTCAAAATCCTCTAATTTACTGTAAAACTACTTTCAGTTTCAAGGCTGAATCTAATACTGATTATGTCATAGAAAGTTTTTCTGAAATCGTATTATTCATTAAAGTCTGAAATTAATGTGCATTGATGTTCCTCACGGCAACTGAATATATAACATTGATGGCTTCATACCAAGTTCATCTGAACTTCTGTTTTTTTTCAAGTGATCATTATTATAATCTTAAAATAATGTTCATTGATCTTCCTCAAGGCCAACAAGTTAAATTTGTATAGCGCTTAGTACCAATAGAAAAGCCCTTTTTGTACTTGGTAATTGACCTTTACTGTTTGATATTTTTTATATAATATAATTGCTAATGAAGCAAAAATAAAAACAGTCAATAAGATCAACCAGAAATTTTGTAATTAGACTGTTGCAAAGTACCAGTCTAATGTTATTGTTATTTAGTTTCTCAATCAATCTCAATATTTATTTCCATCAAAATTCAATAAAAACCACTGTAAAAACACATCATAATAAATAAGTGAAAAGGGATCGAGATACAACAAATGCAAAATTGCCTGTAAAATGTTGTCCCACATTTATAGCTAAAAGACAACTCAGCAACACTCACAGTCACACAGCACAGAAAAAAAGAAGCATGAAATCAATTAAACATGCAAATTAAAAAATTTGGTGAATTTGGTAAACTTTGAAGATAAAGATTTAGTATTACCATGTTATTCTTAAAACTCTTTTTAATGATCAAGTGATCATTATCTTAACATTATAAAGTTATTGTGCAATTATCTTCTCGGTTTTCTGCAGATCCCCTCAATTGCCTGATGTATTAAGTGCACAGTATTCGTCTTTCAGTTTAGAAAGTATAATTGCTAATTATTGATTGAAAAATGGTGCAACGAACTACATCTCATCATAAGGAACTGGGGAATGGGGAGTTGCATACCAGACTAAATCTATGAATGTAATTAATGATAATTATAGAATTTGACCACCACACCCTGAGTACATGAAGTGGAGTAGAATAGTTTTGTGGTTAAGATGCTTGCCTTCAAATCTCAGGGTCCTGGGTTCAATTCCTGTCAGTGTTGCAGTATATTTTCTCATGGCCAAAGCAACTCCACTCCCTAAACCTCGTATTGAGGTTTGTTTGTGTAAAGCATCATGTGTATATGTTTGTCTTGTGAAAGGAATTGTCACTTACAAAAAGGACAGTGATGTATTTGCTATTGACAATTCTTTGTTGCGTGTGTTGTGTGCCTTAAAAAATAAATTTAAAAAAAAAAATATCCAAAAGGGGTTTTTTTTTAATTCAAATTTTAGGTGAAACAGATATCTGTACATTACCGGTAATCATATATATTTGAATATGTTTTTCTTGTTTTTTTCTTGTTTATAGATATAATCAGTGAGGCCATTGGTGGCGAGTTTGAAACAGAGGATTACAAACCTGTGGATTATTATAATAAGGTATAATCATATTTATCATTTTATTTTTAGTTTGCATATTGTAGATTCATTGTACTTTAAATCCAGGATTACTATATATACAGTACAGTGTAAATAATAACCAATATTCAGTTATTAGTATGTATCGCAATAATTCATTATTGTTTCATTGTATCAATACATAATTAAAATTTAAAAAAAAAATGTTATAACTGATTCTATACAGTGAAAACTGCTCTTTCAAATGTATTTTTAAATTAAAATTTTGTGAAAAATACTAAACCATTCTAATGCTTCTTAATGATAAAACAAGCCGTTCTTTGACAATCTTTGATTATGCTTTCAGTGTTCATGTATTTGTTAGAATATTATTTATTAATTTGTTTGTATGACAGTTCAAAGACAACATACTTGGATTCATTGTCTGCTTTGCCGTTGGGATCATCTTCATCATTGTGTTCCCAATCATTGCTCTGTGCTTTTGCTGTTGCCGTTGCTGCTGCAACAACTGCGGCGGAAGAATGGAACAGAAATCACCATCCACTTGCAAATGTTATGTCTTTGGGTTCATCTTATTGATATGCTGTGCTTTTATCTTGTAAGTAAAGAAAATTGCTCCTACTTTAAGTTAATAGGAATTTTAGGTGGGGACTGTGGTAACCTAGTATAGCGCCACCACCGGTTGCGAATTTGTTGGTGAACTGTACAGAATCCTTTTCTATTTTTTTCCCAAAGCGTGTACTGCGTTGTTTTAGCATGCACATGGGTCATGTTGTACACAGTACTACAACATATTTATTGGATTCAATTTTGCATCAGTGGCACACATCAGACAATACCTGATGGTGCATCCAGAAAAAAAAATTGGAAAGAAATTAAATCAAAATTTAAAGCAAAAGTACAACAGAAACACAGATGAATTAAAAGCCTATGATACAGTATATGACAGAGATGATTACTGATATTGACTTATTGAAGTAATATATAATAATTTGATGCATACAGTAACTTGATATTCATAATGGGACATTACAATATGGTTTGCAGATAAAATATATATATACCTATAAATGACATTAAATATATTATATATTTTAATGTAATAATAATGTGCCATTTATATAGCGCATATTACAATAAACTGCCTCTATGCACTTTTATTTATTTATTTAGGCACACATACTCATGCACCAAGGATTGCCAATAGCGCATATATCATATCACTGTCCTAATTTTAGGTGACAATCCCTCTCAGAAGACAAACGCACGTACACACGATGCTTTACACAAACTAAATCTCAATATGAGGTTTAGGGAGTGGAGTTGCTTTAGTTGTGAGAAAAAATCCTGAAAAACTGGCAGGAATTGAACCCAAGACCCTGGGATTAGAAGGCAGACATTTTAACCACCAAGTTATTCAACTCTTTACAGTACATGAACACCTCCAGTTACTGGATCATATTTTTAGGCTTTAACCTGTATTTCACAGGGAGAGCAGCTCTTTAGTAATGATAAATAAAGTGATATCGCAAATTTTATGTGGTGAAATTTTAAAGTCTTATATACCAAAAAGTAATATAACAAATCATGGTTTAGCGATAAAAGTGCCTAGCACCAGTTTGAACCAATTATGCTAATGCTTTAATTCATTAATCAATTTAATTCACTTGAAAGTTATCATGATGATCTTTATATACAGTAAATAAAACAATACTATGAAATAGATACAGTAATTGTAAAAAAAAATAGAATTGAGAGTCCTGATCATGCACTTCCCTGATTTCGATATTTTATACTGAACACTTCCAAGAAGAGTTGAACTGGTCATATGTTCATTAAAATTAAGTTCACAGTAGGTTATACCAATAGTTGAGATTGTAAAATTCATTGTGGTTTGAAAGAAACCAGTCTAATAAATGGCCTATTCATTGACAAACATTTACAGTATAATGTAAATATTTGAAGTGCTACCAAACAGTTAGTATATAAAAATTCTGTTATGCAAACCACAGAGATGTGCTAAGAAAAAAGCTATGTATCATAGCAATGCTATGAATAAGCTAAATATTTCAAAAAGTTAGCACTTCCATGTCAGCGATTTAAAAAGTGTTCTGTTTATTTGTTTACAGAAACAATTCATTCATTCATTCATTCATTTCTTTATTTGTTCCACTTGATAATATTAACATACAAATAAACAATTCATTAACTACAGAGGTAAGTAAGAGAAAACCAAAATTATAAAGTGAAGTGAATTATCAATTTGCAGTATGCTTAGGTCATGGACCTATTAATAGGTCCATGCTTAGGTCTTTCAGGTACCAGAATGCACAGAGAGGAGAGAGAATGTTAAGCAATGCCTGTAATAAAATCTGTTCTATGAAACAGAAACACTCTAAAGATGATGGTTATTATCATAACAATTTCACTGTGTGCATAATATACTGGTAATGTTTATTATGTTATCCATGAAATTTTAATTTGTCTGATAAACCTTACAATACATCCGGGTAGGTTTTTCATGATTAAACACTTCAATAAATTAACAACAGGTACTGTACACAATTTCATAAATGTACAGATTTTGATTGTATACTGTACTGCTCAGTGAATAGCAAGTCAGACAATGTTCCAAGAAAGAACTCATAAGAAATTAATGATGGGGATGATTGTATCAAATATTTACTTAGTATAGTACGTCGGTTTGTTTCATTTTATACGAAATACAAATTCATATATATTGTTGAAATAAAAAAAAGCACTACCACCACATGTCACAGCATATTACTGCATGACACACACCAGCCACTTACCACAAAGCAGCTTTTAACATAACTTATAAAGGCTCTATCAAATATAAATTTAATATTGTGAATTAAAGCCATAATTTATAGTTTGTTGTTTTTGTCTTGTTTTCTTCTGTAATGATGTCCACTTTTTACTCAGTCTACATCTAACATATGCTTAATTGAATTATAAAGAGGTTAAAGCAACATTGGCTGTGATTATTATACAAATTTTATCAGATAATCAGGAATATGAAAGTGTTCACTTATACTGTAAGAAAAGTAACTCTGATTTTAAATTATATCCAGTGGTGTCTGCTAATACTGTATGTGGTGGTGAGCACCAGTTATTGAAAATCATGAAGTGATGGACACATAAAAGAACTCTTTTTGGTTTAAAGATTCTTTTCTACTAATAAAAAATGTTACTTTTTATATTATTATTGCCGTTATTATTACTACACATTAGTATTTTTGTTGTTATATGAATGATTGTTTTTTTTGTTTTGTTTGTAGGGGTGGTGTTGGCACAGCATACACATTAAATGGCTACACAGCTGATGCTGTTAAAACTTTTGCTGATGACATCAACAGCAACATCGATAATATTGTGACCTTTGTTAAAAACACAAACGACGTACGTAACATTATACATACAGGTATACTGTATATCAGTACCATTTGCGTTTTCAGTTTCATTCTGTAACCATGTGTGTAATAGACCATCTGATACTATTTGTTTAAATTAGTACTGTTTATTTATTTTAATTACAATCAAAGTGCTTCTCAAAAAGCAAGCCACACTTATTGAAATTTGATACAGTATAATCAGTAAATGATCATAATTTAAGGAGATGTTTTTCAATATCCAAATAAGTATCATGTTACTTTTGTGTATCATTTTAATTATGTTAATTTAATGTTGAAAATATATTGCCACCTGAAACACCAACAAAAGTTTGAATTGCCTAATTAAATAATTCATCAGCAATGGATGAGTCACATATTCACAATTCAGTTTTCAATGATGTATTGATGTTTTACTTTAAAAAAAAAATTTAATTTATTTTTCATTCAAAAGATATAATACAGAGCAACACAATACAATACATCACAAAGAATTTTAGTAGATACTAGCTGATCTGAAGGCACAAAAGCAGCCTAAACCAGTGTCACCAAAGAGGCATGCACCTCTAGCTAAAGACTACATTTAAATATTTATGATAATTGACAGTAAAAATCATCTTCTTATTTTCTCAGTTATTATTACCTACAAATCTATTAAAACTTTTTTTATATTTCATTATGTTGTAGTAGTATATCTTAAATGTAGTAATTTGAGTTTATCTTTATAATCATCAGGTGGAATTGACTTGTATTATTTTTTTGCATTCAATATCTTTTAATAATTTCCTGTGTAGGAACTTGGATTTATTGTTGGAGATCAGTTAAACTATACTCTTGAACAAATAAAGATTGACCTTAATGGTGAGTTCATGTTATTTCATTTCTAACCCCTGGTGAATTTACTAGGGATTTCTTCAGGAATATATGACATGGTTTACTTATTATTTAGCCTTTTAAAGGGACCTAGAAAGGTGATATTTTTTCTAGAAAGGATTTTTGATATCTCATTATTAATAATTTAAATACTTTAAAATCGTTTTTTGGCCATTCAGTTAAGTTATAGGCCATTAGGATTTAGCAGCGTGACGTCAGTGTAAGCTACTGTAACCAAAAATCGTATAGCTCCGCACATGGTGCCATACATGATGCTACAGTATGCGATCTTTGGTTACAGTAGCTTACACTGACGTCACGCTGCTAAGGGGTAAAATTGTAATGGCTAATAACTTCATAAAACTTTCCAAAAAACTATTTTAAAGTTGATTGTATTACTAATGACATATCAAAAATCCCCTCTAGAAAAAAAAAATCATCTTTCTAGGTCCCTTTTAAGAGTACAATTACTAAGATATTAACAACATTAAAACTTTATAAAAAAATATATACAGCCTGTGTCATATCTGATTTAAATAAGAATGACTTTATACACTCAGTTTATCACTTCAGTTAACTAGCGTGTTAATAATGAGCAGGTTTTGTAGTTGTTAAATTAAGGATTACTGAACAGTCAGAGCTGTAATAATATGTCTTGAGACTTTTAATAATAATGATCACACCCGAATTATTTTACTAAAGTTCAATGTGAAAACACGTAGGTAGGGCAAAACATCACAATAATAATAAGATTAATGATTAAAATTGTCGTTAGCAAAAGGACCTGCCACATAACTCAGTTTTAATTTGAATATTACCGAAAGTTTGGTTGAGTTTAATATGTTTAGATGATTTAGTATTGTAGTAATTGAGAAAGGCATTCAAAATTACAGTAAATTCCAAAGAATACGGATGAATGATTGCCAGTATTTCTGGGTATGGTGTGGGCATAATGACAATAGGTAGATTTTCTTTTGCTTGGTTGATGATCCAGGATAAAAAATGAAAATCTATGGGTGCAGTCTGATGATAATGGTACTGTATTGCTCTTGTCCCAATTGTTGTTTGAAAACCACGAAAGAAGGTTGAGTAAAGGAAATAAAGCCTGGTTTCTATAGAATCACCGCACAGTCACTACTGCGTTTTCACTGTAATCCTGTCACCGATGCAATCGGGAATACTGCCTTATTCAACTGACCAATCAGCGTCAAACGAGTCGGTGATAGTGTGTAGCGATTTTTACGGAAACCAGGCTGTTAAAAAAACGTATAGTGCATTGTAGTTGCTTAGCAACATGAAGCTAAAAAACCAGGTGAACGAAACTTTAATTCTGAATCTACTGTTGACACTTGAACATTTTCAAAACATAAAGCTCAGTGTATTCAAAATTGAATGATTGCTTGCAGACAATACAGAATACTTAGGTTCAAATCCAGTGCTACTTATATAATTGTGGTTGTGAGTAATTGTTACAAATACTACGTGTGCGGTCTGCTTGCAAATCTATTTATGTTAATAGCAAACATACTCTTTGAATGGCCTTGAATTTATGCTACATTCAGTTCTACAATAATATTATGTAAGATCCCAAGTGAAATAAGAAAATCTTTTACAATCTGGTTTTCGATAAAAGTATAAATATTGTTGTAATAACTATGCAAAACTAGACATTATTTACATATTTATAAGCACAAGATAAAGCAGACTTGCTGTCACGTTATTCGACTTCACATAAACCTCATATGATTAGCGAATAGAAGATCCAATTACTAAAGTAGATTGCGTTGCCAGGAGCCAAGGCTCTAATGGAAAATTGTAAAGTACCTAACAAATTGATTATCCCTATCACAAGTTGATGCTGTCAGGTTACTTGAGAAAATGTCATAGGTCAGAAGAATGATGATTAAATTTTTACCCTCTGTTTCTAAATATTAATTTTGAACAATGTAATTTTTAAATTGCAACTTTAAATATTTAGTTAACTTTCAATTAACAATTAGAATTTGAACACGATAAGACAAGATGTGTTTTTTTTTTTTTTTTTTTTTTTCTGTTTTTTTGTCTGTGGTTTTATTGTGAGGCACTCACATGACATGTGCTACTGATTCAAAAGTGTAGTTTTCAATTAAAGTTAAATTATATATTTTCCTTGCCAGCGCATGACCAACACTGTTTCCATACCATTTCATAGACCCTTAGGCAAGACTTCTTATACCTTGTTTTGCGAACTTATTTTTTTGAAGATCGTCAGAGGAGGGCAGAAAAAAAATAAAAATAAAACTTGGTTTTCTTATATTTTCTTATTTAAGCAAATGGTTTTGCCAAAAACTTTCAAGTGGGGGAGAAAATAAAAATAAAATTTTATCGTTGAATGTAAACAGGAAGTAATGGTTAAATGTTTTGAATTTACATAATTAGGAAGAAATTTACATTTACTTTTGGAGATTTTAAGGCAGCAGCGGATGTAATAAAAAATAAAGAAAACTTATTTTTATGTGAAGTTTGCATGTTGTTATGGCGGCGGCGCTGCTTCATCAAACAGGGTGTAAAAAAAGTCTCACCTTATTAAACATGGTAATTAATTAGGAGAATTTATTTTTTTAAAATCTATTAAAAACCCTGATTTTTTTCATCGGCTCATTTAAAATCGACATCTTATGTGATCTTTCATGAGATTTCACCAAAAGAAGTAGAAAATATGTGAGGTTAGAAAGTTTCATGTTGAATAATACAATTAAATGATGTTATTTATAATTATACTTTTATTAATACTGATAAGTAATTAAATCTATTTCCTGTTTGTAGATATTGGAGACTTAGTTGGTGTACCCGTGCGAGATAGGTTGAGAGCTGACGTCGGGCCTGCGATAACGGCTGTCAAAGAGCTCGCTACTAGTAAGTTGTAGTTCAAATTATTTTGCATTATTACGAAAATATTAACTGCATTTACATTTTGTAAATGAAAAATAGAATAAGGACAATTAGAAGATAGTTTAACATTTAAAAAATTTAGTGAAGAATTAATAATGAGGATAATAAAATATTAATAATTGATTCTCTGATGTAATCATGTGTTTTAATCTGTGCTTGGCATCGGTAGTTTCTGAATGATTCATGAGCATATACGCAGGGCTTGTATTTGTATTTGTATTAGTATTTGGGGCTTATATATAAATACGTACATTATATAATTAATAGTAATATCACTATAGCATTTATTCATGTGATACAAACAATAATTTGAAATGTCATTTTATATCAACTGAGTTTGTAAGAATGGAAATTCAGTAGGGGATGTAAACATGTGTTATATAAAGAAGTTATGCAGGTGTTGTTATTATCAGGAATTGCACACGGTGTGTGCTATTTCCGTTATAATCATTGCGTTCGTTGTTTGCACTAATCAAATGTCTCATTATTTGGCAGCGCATGCATTATATTGATACTATATAGAGAAGTAATAAAAAGGATAATTATAACACAAACCAGCTATTTTCCAATTGTGGACACGCTAGGACTCGTGTGTAGAATAACATTATTCTATGTAATGTTCAAAAAAATGCAAAAAAAATGTTTAAAAAAATATGTTTGCAAAAATGCAAACATATTTTGTAGATTTTAACTTTTAATATATTATTTCTACTAAGCCATAAAACATAGATTATAAATATTTATATATATTTTTTTTCTTTCCCATCATAACATTACTAGTAGTTGAATGGATTCTTTCTAAAGATTAAATGGTTGCAAATAATGATCACATACAGTTGAACTCGCCTATTACAGTTGAATCCAAAATGGTGTTTTGCGATACGATACGACTTATATTTCCATCAAAATTCATTCAAAATATGTCATAATAATAAATGAGATAAGGATGGAGGCGATATAACGAAAAGCAAAATGTAAAATGTTGTATCACCTTTACATAAAAAGTTAAGCAAATTTAGAACACGAACAAAGACAAACACACACCCACCCAGGATGGAAACATAGAAGCATGAAATCAAACAATTGCGAAAAAATGCATCACACATCATCACACCGTTTCACTGACCGACCAAGGCCGCTCATAAATAATGAGGATAATAAAATATTAATAATTGTTTTTGTGGATTCTCTGATATAATCATGTGTTTTAATCTGTGCTTGGCATCAGTAGTTTCTGAATGATTCATGAGCATATACGCAGGGCTTGTTATTTGAAAATGGCCGGTGAGCTAAAAAACATACTCCACCGAGTAATTACTTGGTGGAGGGGAAAATTTCAACAGTATTTAAAGGTAAAGTTAAGGGTAAAGATAGGAGAATAACCCATAGCTAGCAGTGTCATTGTGCTGAATTGTGTACGGGCGTGGTCCGTGGCTACCTAGCAGATGTAAATAGGCGCTTAATGGTGGATACATGTTCACATCATTCCACAACAACAGGGGCTGAAATGAACCATAACATCGGGGTAACCCCCTACTCTTCCGAAAGATGTAATGGGTTCTTTAAAGTGCACACGAGCCAAATGTATACACTGGACCTCCATTTTAAGTCCTTATCCGAAAACTTGGTTCTACCAACCAAACCATGGGCGAGGAGCGGCTGGAACCAGTGACAATGTTCAGACTGTAGCTAGCCGCGCCCTTGCCTTACCGCTCAGCCACTCAACTCACTTTTGGGGTTTGTACTAGATTTAAGATGAGTGATTTTCAAATCCAAGGTACTCCATTTTTCACAGCCCTGAAGATGATTTTAGGTGAGTAATGGCATGCGAGTACAAGCACAATCACAAGCCCTGTGAACTCGTTTGCCTCCCTCGAATAAATACCGCCTCAAAAACCCTTCTCAACAGTTAATGCCCTGGGGCTTATATTTAAATACATACGTTATATAATTAATAGTAATATCACTATAGCATTTATTCATGTGATACAAACAATAATTTGAAATGTCATTTTATATCAACTGAGTTTGTAAGAATGGAAATTCAGTAGGGGATGTAAACATGTGTTATATAAAGAAGTTATGCAGGTGTTGTTATTATCAGGAATTGCACCGGTGTGTGCTATTTACATTATAATAATTGCATTCGTTGTTTGCACTAATCAAATGTCTCATTATTTGGCAGCGCATGCATTATATTGATACTATATAGAGAAGTAATAAAAAGGATAATTATATTACACAAACCAGCTATTTTCCAATTGTGGACACGCTAGGACTCGTGTGTAGAATAACATTATTCTATGTAAATGTTTAAAAAAATGCAAAAAAAAATGTTTAAAAAAATATGTTTGCAAAAATGCAAACATATTTTGTAGATTTTAACTTTTAATATATTATTTCTACTAAGCCAAAAAACATAGATTATAAATATTTATATATATTTTTTTTCCTTTCCCATCATAACATTACTAGTAGTTGAATGGATTCTTTCTAAAGATAAAATGGTTGCAACTAATGATCACATACAGTTGAACTCGCCTATTACAGTTGAATCCAAAATGGTGTTTTACAATACGATACGACTTATATTTCCATCAAAATTCATTCAAAATATGTCATAATAATAAATGAGATAAGGATGGAGGCAATATAACGAAAAGCAAACAGCCTGTAAAATGTTGTATCACATTTACATAAAAAGTTAAGCAAATTTAGAACACGAACAAATACAAACACACAACCACCCAGGATGGAAACATAGAAGCATGAAATCAAACAATTGCAAAAAAATGCATAAAAAGAGATTTAGAATTTGTAAATTAATATATGCATACTAAAATAGACATTTGAGAATCCTTTTGAACTGCCCTAATGTATGAGCACATTTGGCATTGATAGGCAGATCCTTCCATACTTTTGGACCTGAAGACAACACAGGTTTAAACCTTTTAACTGGAATTAAGAAATCATCTTTGTTTCTGGTATTGTAGTTATGGTTTTCACGATGAGTAGTAAAAAAATGATTAAGTGAAGCTGGTAACATGTCGTATTTGTACTTGTACATAAAAATAGCAACTTCACTTGTATACATGTCAAAAATATTCAAAACATTATATTTAAGAAATAATGGTTTAGTTGGACGCAGATACGAACTGTGTGATATAACTCTTAAGGCACGTTTTTATGGTTATGGTTTATGGTTTTATATTTATATAGCGCCTTCCACGATCGAAACCGTCTCAAGGCGCTTGAAAAATATATGTGAATAATGTATGGAAATAAATTTGACCGGAAATAACCTAAACTAACCAAACAGAATAACCGACAAACAGATAAAAAATAGAATCACACATCATCACACCGTTTCATTGACCGACCAAGGCCGGTCAGCTATTGATTTCACAGGTGTCATAATGATGTGTGTAACTAAATATTGGCCTATCGAGCAACGAAAATGAACGAATGTGAGTGGTCTATAGTGAGTTTTTGTAATAGAAACAATTTGTTTATATATACTTTACTGGCATTTCCCCATAGAAGCAAACCATAGTTGAAAAATTGTTTGACTTAGATAAAATTTGACTTACAGATTATTAATTAATAGAAAACACAACAATTTTGAGTGTAAAATAAGATCAACTTAGAAAATTTGGATGGCTTCCCGCACTCCCGCAAGCAGGCATGAAACTCCCAGAAAATAACCCATCTCCCGCAAGTTGATAATATTTTGCATGTTTTCATGTTTTATCTTTAAACATTAGCTGTTTCCTCTTATAAAGACTCTCTGTTAAAGACCAAAGACCATCGTTTTGGCAGAGGAAAATAAAAAGTAGTTGTCCAATCAAAGACCACTAATAAAATATATAATGACGATAATCAAATTTTTCTATAATAAATTTTGTTATATATGATTTATACATAAAAATATTAGCCAATGCACATCATGCATTGCATCAAGATGTTTTGCTTATACAGTGTTTTGTGTATATTGAATAACGATAATGTTAGGGCGATGTTAGTAATTACTGTAATAGTTTAATGAAGTTGGGTAACACGAGTACAGGGCTTTATGTCTGGCTACCATGAAATGTTTTATTAAGAATAAGCAGACTAAGAATTTATAAGTAAGCTCATGTAGACATCCATTTTAAAACATAAACATTTAATGTATTATTTCTTAATTTCAATATAAGGAGAGAAGACCACATTTAGTGCCCATGGTTCCGAAGTCTCCTCCGGAGCCCCAGGATGGAGTCTCCTAAAAATCAGCAGGGTGGCCTGCTGCACTCCCGTTATTTTCATGTTTTTACTATTGTATTATCAATTGTCTCCCGGAAGTCAGTGCCAATGTTTATCACCATGCACAGCAACATAATATGTAGATGTGTTTAGAAAAATTATTTAAACAGATCTCCCAGATGTGGAATCTTCTAACTTGGGACACCTGCATATGAAAGAACCATTCACTGTGGGGTAGTTTTTAGCTGCAACATAAATAGCGGCCTAATTTGACCTACGTTCAACATAGCCAGTATGCTAGGCCTATGTCTAGTACTAGTAGAATTGTTTCTTCTGTACTTGTTTTAAGCAACTTTCCATTAAAATATTACTAACATCACCACTAACATTGTCTCTACTCGATTAATTTCAATTCAGTTTTAATACAAATTATGGTAAATGCATTGTTTCAATAATATAAAATGATAAATATAATTTATTAAAAAGTGATTATGTAAAAAAACATACACAAAACACCATCTTATGCCTTATAACAACATTTATTATAGAAAAAATAGCATTAATATCACTATTTATTTTATAGTGGTTTTAATTAGAGGGAAAATTTTCATTTGGGTCCACCAAAACCATGGTCTTTGATCTCTAAATAGAAGGAATCTTTAAATTTTCATTTGGGTCCACCAAAACCATGGTATTTGATCTCTAAATAGAAGGAATCTTTA